ACAATAAAGAGAAAAAAGAATATGCACTCCCATCCTGATTTGTCACCAGATAAGTACATTGGATTCAATCCTACATACCTTCAGCACTCAAAATTTCCAGAAAGGTTAACAGGAGTTTTGTGAGAACATGGAATGTAAGGGTCAGGGCCATTCAGAAGGAAAGGAATCCATGCCATGTACTGTGCAAATTATGTCTGTCTCTACATTAGCACTGAAATTACTTTTATAATAGGCCAGGTAATAGCCATTTTGATTTATGTTTGCAAGCAAGAAGGAACTGAAGAAGTGGTTGGGATGAAAAAAACCTAGAGATTATGTAGAAGATTTTCCTGTAGTCTTTGTCTATAATTTTTCTGTAATATTTTTTCGTTTTCAGGCATGTTGCTGGAAGAGGCAAACTTAAGTTTCAGAGTCACCAAAAGTCAGTTCATTCATACTCAGTTATTCAGTTATACCTTTTTTTTTAAAAAAAAACAACCCTAGGCTGACCTAAAAGAAATGCAACGCACTACAAAAAGTGTAGAGTAGTGTTTCTGTCAAGATCACAATTGCCCGCAGCAAAAGTGGCTTTCTTGTATTTGTAGCAGGTATGTGAAAATAGGAATTCCTTAGCTGTTGCTGAAGTATTTCCACATATTGGCTTACTTACACAATTTCTATAGTTCTACAAAGGGCAGCACATCCTAACTGTGCCATATGCAATACTGAAAGATCCCCTAGAATCATGGGGTGACAGGATTGCACAGAACAAACATTGTCCTGTCACTGCTAGTCTGCTCCCAATTTTGTGTTGTTAGACACTGTGGTGTGAGGAACACATTTGGCCAGGCCGTGCTTTGTATTTCTTCATGCTTACATTGCTACTCATGGCCTATGGACATAGGAGGGAGATTTTGACATCAGCTGTCATTTGTTATGTAGGGCTCAGACGGAATCAAAAGATTCCAAGAATCAGGTCAGTCAGAATCAGCCTAAGTCAGAAACAAGAGACATTCAGACACACACCAGGAAAGGGCATCAGAAGCAGCCAGGATAAAGACCCTATTTGCAGTAGGAGCCTGGAACAAGGAACAGGTAAAGTTAGAATAAAATAAGGAGCTAAATGTAGGCCTTGAGAATAAGGGTTAGAAGCTAGAGTCACAGTATGACTTCAGATCTGTGGAAAGGAATACAAAGAGCTAAAAGCAGGTATCAGGTGTGTGGGAAACTACATACACCAAAACTGTACAGACTTACACCAGCCCTCAACTACTAGGCATTATCAGGTCCTTAGTTTTTGAAAAACTGTTTACAGTCTCCTGCTAGACTGAAAGTCCAACAATGCTTAAGAGGCATGGCCATGATCTGCTGAACAGACTTTGGTCCATACAACATTCTTACATATTTCATCCATCTTTCATCTCTGTATTCTATTACCTTTGAAAATGACCTCGATCATGAATTACAAGAGAGTCTTTTGCAGTATTAAGACTCTATCCATACAAGTGGGTAAAGGAAAACTATTGAGTCAGATTTACTGCAATCTGAAGCTATAATGAGAGCTGTAACCAGCCCCCCACAACAATGTGAGGAGTCCACCTGAGATACTGGTTTGCAGTTGCTTGAACGGCCCTGGCTGCTGCAGCTGTTGCCTTCATGCCTAGCTGAGAAATCTCTCCTCAACCTGCTGTCTGACTGTTATTCACTTCTTGCACCTTAGAGCTGCTGTCTGGTGGCAGTAGCACTGCTGCCCAGAAGAGGGAAGAATGTGTCACTGCTTGCTTGTCCTGCTAATAGCAGTCTTAGGGCTTTTATTCCTTGGAGAGACAGTAGAAAGTATTCTCTGCTTGGGAGAACAGCCCAGAAAAATATTGTGTTTGTCTGTCATAGGCACTTAACACTTCAGTGTCTAAATATCTTTCTCAACTTGGAGTGGAGTTGCTTCCCCCCCTCAAGAATGTTAGGAGGGATATATTATTGATATCATAAAAAAACTCTCACATTTTGCTCATAACCTCTGGCTTGTGTTGCACTCTAACCTCACAATGTAGCGAGTAATAAATTTTTCCCATTGTGACAGTTTAACTTGACACTTCCTCCTAGAACTGGACAGCTCTGTGAATCTTACATTTTAGGATATGATTTCTCAAATTTGTCTTAAAGCAAATCATAAAGCAAGTTTTTTTTGTGTGGTGACTTACATTTTTATACGATAGGATACACCATGAGTTTACAGAAGTCTGGATGTGAATCCTGGTTTGGTAAGTCTAAGTAACCTCTAAATAAACCAGGAGTTTTAAAGACATGACTCAGCCCTTTAGACACTTTTCTTCCTTACTTGCTGATTCTGCCTAGGTCCAGGCAGCCTGAGCAGAATTCTTTTCTGCTACAGCAGGAACAAGAACGAAGGGACATTTCTGTTGATTCAAGAGAAAAGAATATTAGGACAAGTCTTCAAGGAAAGAATATTAGAAACCAGGAACTTTTTTGTTGTTGTTTTCTTTTTTTTCTCCCACATAGCTTCTTCACAAGAAGGATGTCTCCTCTCTTCATTTTGATATTTTGCCTACTGCTTTGCAGACACGCCCTTGTGACCTTGATGATGGTTTTCTATACCAAGACTAGTGTTTGTTAAATTGAATTTTTCATCCCTTTCTTAAATTATCTTTTCTGGAAGAAATGTAACTAAGTGTGAATAAACAATGAGAGATTCTAGAACATTATAAAGGAAAATTAAATATGCAAAGTTTACACATTAATCTACATAAACTTTTATTCCAACTTGTGAAGTAAAGTGATTTTGTTTGACACAGAGAAGGTGGAGTCTATAATGGTAATTTCTTTAAAGGGATTTGCAGACAGTTGGGGCAGGAGGTGTGTCCTCCGTTATACTACCTTCCCAGAGCACAGTGTCTTTTAGGGCACGTTCCCACATGTTCACTCACCTAAAAGGTGTTTAGCCTGACTTGTTCAGCTGTCTATTTCAAAATTGCTTAGATGTTGCTTTCCAGAGGAACTCAGAGATACTTAAGGAGGATGATTACTTCTAAATTCTAGACTTCAGAAATTAAATACTAGAACTCTACGACGTTGATGCTGTATGAATTCTTCAGTGCTGTATAGGGTCTTTGTGAGGGCTAAGGCTGCTGGTGAGCTACTTTAAATCAGACACACCTTTGGGTTGGGCTATTTTGGAAACTAAGTACTTGATAAGGTTCAAGGTATGGTCTGCTAGGGACAAGTGATTTTACTTTGTGTTTTTACATGCACTTCGATCAGCTGATGCAGTTGAGGGACAGTCTCCTGTGCTAGTAACAGACTGGGGGCAGAGGAGTGGTGACCTGTCACAGGCCTTCTCTGGCTTTTTTCAAAGTAGGGATTGCTAGCTTTCAGGCAGCTAAGCAAGAGAGAAAAAGGGACGTGCTATGGGGGTACCTTTATTTGGGGATAGCAAGCCCCTATATTTCCGGATCTGGAATGGACTAAGTCAGAAGCTGCAAGGCAAAAAATCCTGGGATAAACATCTGGATGAAATCTGCTTACTCCAGCAGAAAAGGTACAGTGCATTTCAGCCTACTTGTCTTCCCTTTCTTCTGCTGCTCTCTCCCTGTTGCTGATTCTCACTCTTTTCCCTTAGGCTTTTCTGCCAGTAGATAAACTTTAAACAACCCTGGAGCACTTTTCACTATCAGATTTCTTCTTTCAAGGTGGAATGCTTCTGGAGTTCCAATCTTATCTTCTTTCACAAGTGGATTTACCAGGTCACAATTGAATTACCCTGAGTGCAGGACTTCAGTCACAAATTAATAACATATACTCTTGTCTTTCCTGCTTCATTGGTAAAGCTCACAAGAAAATGCATGAGGGTTTGTATGTTTTTTAAAAATTATTATTAAGAGTGTGTGTGACACACAGTGTGCTGCAGTCAGCTGAAATGATGGCTTCTTGGCAAGGATTCTGCTTTCTGTCTCTCTAAATGTTGCTCTTACTGTGGGGTAGAGTGAACTTAATGCTCTTCCACATTCTGGTGGTCAATCACTTCCTGGGTCAGATTGCTGTTTCTCACCCCCCATGGCTTGTGTGTCATGTACAGTGACTTCTCTTAAACCTTACATTATCAAGAGGATTACTTGTGTCCTCATGTGAAGTACTGAATGACTGAATATTGTAATACTGAATCAAGGCTGTTACTGCTGTGCAGGGTTGCTCCCTCCATGCACGGGAATGCAGGAGTATTTGTGGAAATCCAGCTGAATCTGTTTTTTATTGCTCTGTGTCATTTCTGTATGCAGAAACCCTGCAGTACTCAAATAACAAATTGCTTCCAGTCCCTTGTAAAATTTGTTTTTTCTTTGCTTACAAAACTCTGAATATCTCTAGGGACAAAAAGGTGGCTGTGTGGGGCAAAATCTATCCATCTAGCTGTACATATGTATGTATGTGCACACACATATATGTATAGAAAGAAGTAGTATAGTACCTTAAGAAGAACAAGTGTACATATTTGTCTCTAGGGAAAGAAGAACTTACATCTAACTTGTAACCAAATAACAAAAGCCTGCTCTATTTTACTTCAGAGCAGCAGTACTTAAATGCACTTAAAATGGGAAGCATAGTGTCTCCATAGAATGTTGAAGTGTTTATATTTTGGTATGTTCATTAAAACCATCACAGGTAACTGAAAAATAAGTTCTCAGCAGATTCTGTAATATTCAAATGAATGTGTGCAAAAGAAAAGTCTAAATATATTAATATTTTTATAATTATAACATAATCTTTACATTTGTAAGTCATAGAGAGGTGGAAAGTACCTCTGGAGGTCTCTGTCTAACCTCCCACTTGAAGCTGGACTATTGCCAGCAATAGATCCCATTGCTTTGGCTTTGTCTAGCTCAGTCTTGAAAGCCTCCCAGGACAGAGATTCCAATATATCTTTAGATACCTGTTACAGTGTTGTAGTAACCTCCTACTGGAAAAGTTTTTTTTTTTCCTAATGTTCAACCTCAATCTCCAAAATTATAATTCAGTGCTGTAGCCCCTTATTTTACCATCTGCTGTTACCAAGAAGGGTTTGGCCCCTTCCTTGTTGTTGCTCCCTTTCACATAGGCTGCTATTAGATGGCCATTCATCCTTCTCTTTGCTTGACAATTCTCATTAGTCACGTGCTGCAGGCTTGTGAACATCTTATGCATTGCTACTGATAAAGGAAAACAGAAAAACTGTTAGGCAAGAAAACAAAGCATTTTTACACATTAATAAACTATGGAAATCTGTGCTATGAGAAATAATGCATTAGAAATAATGCTTGGTACAATTTGCGTAACTTGCAGAGAGCTATGGTCACTCTAAACATGTCACAATAAAAACTTTATATCCCGTTTAGTTTCCAAATTTTTTGTGGAAAATTTTCCTTAGTCTCACAAAGTGAAGTGCTTTGCTTACCCTGAAAACAATGATAGCATAAATGAAGAGTAGCTCAGCCTAATGATACTGAATTGAGTTGTTTAAGAGTTGTATAGGGACACAGAGAACCTTCAGCTTCTAGACAGCTTTCTCAAGCTAGTAGTAAATGAGAGATATAGTTTTGCTGTTCAATTGTCTGAACACCACTACTGAGTTTTCAGTGCACAAATTAACATAGGACTGTCCTTTCTTAAAATCCACAATGCCTGTCAGTATTAATTGGTTCCTTTGCTCTAAAGGGTGACAGTGAAATAAAGTTGCCAGCTCCGAGTTCCACCACTTCATTTGTAATACGTTTCAATAACAGTGCTTCTGAATAGTTAAGATGCAAAGAACAGCCTGTTGGAAACTGCTGCTGTGTGTAAAATAAAGTCAAAGGCATGACTGGCAGCATTTCTGGTCTTTTATTATGCTGTTACACCTTCATCCTAATGGAAGCCTAATAATGGAAAACAAGCCTCCTTAATCTCACAAGTGTAAAGGTCATCCAGAACTCACATGTGCCCATCAGTGCACAGGCATACACACATCTGATCTCAGTGCCTAGGATGTGGCTTCGGCTTGTAGATTTAGGAAGCTGTTTACCTTCTTAAAATTTGGCTATAGGTTTCCTTATGAAGAAGTAAACATGAAATTACTGGAAAAAAATCAAACAAACAAACAAATCCATCCCAAATTAAAAAGTTGTTAGAAAAAACTAATTAGATACTGGGTAAGGAGCACAGCATAGAATAAAACTGCAAGAAAATCCCTATTGAAGACTGTTGGAAGTTCTGATGCAGGATGAAGTTATGCTTATGTTATGCTTATACTGAGAACATATTTGTTTTATGAATAACTCAGTGATAACAAATAATAATGAACATCTGCTGAACTGTTAATCCAGTTGTAGCATGAGATTATTCTTAGGATGGTCTCAGATGCAGAAATGAAAAAAGGAGATCAATGCAAAGAGATTGCCCTGCTGGAAGTGACTGAACAAGATTTCTATTGCCTAGTGTGGTAGACAGGTAAATATCTGAAGGGATAAGACTTCCCTATCAGTTACCTGTCTAGTAGCATTGGCAATTAGTAACTGGTTTAACTTATTTCTAGACAAGTTCTGTTTACTGTCAGCTGAAGGAGCTTCAACATACATGCACAAGAGGTTTCAGTTAATTTGCTGAGTCTTGCTGTCAGGGCTGAAGAAATGTACTGACTCTGTCCCTGTGTTGATTGTCCAAACCCCTGTTATCTGTCTTCTTTTCACTTTGTGCTGTTACATTCTAAGTCATTCTTTAGCATCTTGTTAGATCATTGCATTGATGCTCTTTCTGGCTGGTTAGCTTCCCCTGAGCACTCCTCTGCTTCTCTAGCACTGTCTTCTAGCAGAAGGAAGGGAGAGATGAATCTCCTTTGGCAATTCCATGATGGAGTGTGGAGCATGGATATTCTGAGCAGCACAACAGGGAATGAAAAGAAAGCTGAAATAATATCCTGCTAATGAATGTATAGTTCAGTTAAAAAGAATTGCTTTATACCCTCAGTAACTGACATAGCTATGGGGATAAAGCATGAAACTAGCAGATGCCAAACTTATACTAAAGCAAACAATAAGAAAATTCCATACAGTGAATGCCTCACATAGTAGAACCTGAGAGTAGTAGAATCTGAAAAAGGAAGGAAAGAGGTAAAAGAGATGCTCTGATGCACCTCTGGTGAGCTCAAGAAGAAGAAGCTTCAGATAGGTTGTGTCCAGACAGTTCGCATATTTGACATATTTCCTTGTTTTAAAATAATAACCCCATAAATCAAAATTCTTTTTGTAACAGAGTTGACTCATGGATTTATTCTTGCCTTTTTTATCTCTTCATAAGTGTAATGAGCACAGTGCAGTCCAAAAGAAGTACTCAAGAAGCTGTAAATCTAAAAAGGTATATATTAGTAGCAGAAAGTGCTTGTGAAATCTTTAACCTTGTTTAAAACTATTTTACATGACTCCCTCAGTCAGAATCTGACCTACATTCTATCTTCTCTTTGTTTCACAATGGATTTTCGGGTGTTCCTGATTTTGTCCTCACCTATATGGGAAAACAACTCACAGTTTCCTGAGCATATCTTTGAATCATCTGTTAAGAAAACTGACTGATAGTAATGCATGATGAAGGCTTATTAAGCTCCTCAACACAGCTACATTCCTCAGCGCAGTAAGAAGAACCCAGGAGCACTTCCAGGTGGATACTGTTGTGGTTTTCATTGCCCATCACAACTACTAGTTAGGTATGTAGTTGTGCTTGTCCTAAACACCCTACAAGGCAACATCAGTACTGCCTAGTGTTACAGACCTAACTTAGCTGGCTAAATTAGGAGCTTAGTGTCCCTTGACGCCACAGCTGATGAAGAGAATGATTTAGAACAGCAGCTTAACTTAGATGTGCTGAATTAACTTCTTAGAGTGTCTAAATAGGTCTCTGCTGAATCATTCTCTGAAAGCCACCCTCTCCATTTTTCCTTTATGGAAACTAAGCATCTACTGTAAGCAGCTCTGATGAGAGACAAAGTTACAGATTTTACCTGCTGCTGCTTTGACACACAGGAGCTAGAGTTGTAAAATTGGTTGGTTAAATATGCAGAACTTAGAGAAATCAAAATGTTTTGAAGGTTCTAGATTTGTGTGACTGTTTCATTTTTTATATTAGTGATTTTGTCTCACCTAGTACTTCACATTTACGTGTTCAGCACATTGCTGTAATTTATGAAAAATAAGTTGATTATTATAATGATATGTTTTAAATGGGAGTAAAATGTTTCCCAATTATGGGGCAGAAAATTAAATGAGAGTAAAAGCATATGGTATAAACATGTAAGCCATGGACCTTTGAGGCATCAGAGGCAGTGTGCTATGACATTTACCAACACTTCTGGGCACTTCATCAGCTTGCTGTTTGGCCTGGGATCTCTGGTTCTTTAAGCCCAGTTGGAGGTTCCCACAGTAGGTAGAAAGGTTTGACAATTTTGCCCTAAATTTCTGAAAGCTGCATATAGTAGTTATTAGGTGTTTCCCTCTTAGCAGGCTTGTAATTTAATTAGTTGTTTACAAGGGCTTTGGAGAATTTTGTGAGAAAGGTATTGTGTTTGAGTCCTCCCACATTGTCTCTTACCCAACCCTTCCTCCTCTCTGAGGTCATTTGAGGGATAAAGGCCTACCCAGAAAAGCATCAACATATTAATTGTAGCATTGTTGATGCTATTGAAACCCCACCTCCTTCCCACTTCCTACCTCTGAAACTTATATTCTCCAGGAACAGAGTCTTTGTCAGCCGAAATAATGGCAGAGATAGCAAGCTTGCTTCACTGATACTGAATCTTACAACTTTTGCTCAGAGTATTTTGTTCCTATTTCTCTGATCCTAGATGCGATCTTCTCATCAAATCATCTTGTAATTAGTAATTAACGCAACTGATGCATGAGTAAGCTAAAGAAGGAATACTCCTCAAAGCAGCAAGGCTAAGAGTTTGAATGACAAAGAAATATATCTCAGAATGTCTCCCTGGTTTGTTCAGGATGGTTCTTTATATTCTGAATGTTTTTATTTCTCCTCTGTTCAGCATTTTTCTTATCTAGTTTCTAGTGACTTAGATGAAGTGCTGTTGGTGACAGGAAGTGCTCCTTTTATGGAATGATAAATATACTGTCCAGTTATGCTTTTATTACTTGTAGCCCATGCCCATTAATTTACACTTATTCAAGTGATTCCTGTTTATCTGTGTAACTCTGATACTTCTCTTTGTTTTGCTTTATCCTCCAAGTTCTCTCAAGTCTGTCAGTATCTTTCTGCTATAAAGGTGTGCAGAACTTGCATATTTCAGGTGGATTAAATCCAGAGCTAATGGCGTATCAAATAATTTTTTTTTCTTCAAGATTCTGTTGTTCATAAAAGGATAATTTAAAGCAAAAAATACATATTTCTGTAAGACATATAATTTATGTTGCATTTTGTTATACGGTTTTATTGTTAAATTATCCTATAGCTAATAAGCACAAGTTCTGAGAAAACATTTTGTGCAATGGACCATTTATATTCTCCCTCTCTCTTTCTGATGCAAGTTTTCTTGTGGCATATAATAGCGTTACATTTGTAGATAATGTATTCTAACATCAAAGTTATCACTTAATGGAAAACACTGATTCCTTTATATAGTATTTGCCCTATAAACTGTATCCCCAAAATCTTGTAATTAAATAATACCAGAACACAAGGATAAAATCTGAGACATCACAAGAAGAAAGCATTGAATATATGCCTAGGTATACAGTTTGACTAATGTATTTGTCTCACATGCTTTTTTTTTCTGTGTATTTGTGTGTGCAACTAACATCCAGCTTATTAGCAGTTGTTAGACTATAATAAAAGCACAGAGTGGGGCTGGTAGGAAAATGAGGGCTGATGTTCTTGTTCATATCAGCTTGAATTTGTCATTGTTCTAATGTGTTCCTTAGATTTACTCCTCTTCACACATTACACCTTGATGTGAGCCATGCTAGATAATTAAGAACAAATAAAACGTCTGTACTACAAGAAAGCAGAGGTGAGATAAAAGTGCAAAATTTGCATCTGAACAGAGATCTAAAACTGAACTTACCCTATTTGGTGAGAGAAGTCTATTTCATACAGAAAATTCATGAGACGTAAGCTGTTTCTTTGGGTTTGAGGTTCTTTCTTCCCCTTAAATCTTTAGCTCCTGAACTTAGGCTACTTCGAATTATTTATTTGTATAAAAAACAAAATAAAAAACCCCCACCCTAAATCACTTTTTACTAATTAAAAGATAAATCTGAAAATATTCAAGGCTACTAGAAATATTTACCCAAAATTTATAGATTTTGTTCTATTTTTTGTGATTTTGGGGTGGCAAACTCATTATTTTGAACATTGACAAAGCTTATTTGGCTGCTGAGCAAGTGGACATTGCAGGTAACTCTTGGCACCCTCCCTTCAGGTTCTTACACACATTGGTAAGAACTCCACCCAAGCCTTCTCTTCTCCAAGCTAAACAGTTCCACCTCTCTCAGCCTTTCCTCATATAAGAGGTGCTCCAGTCCCATAGTCACCTTTGTGGCCATTCATTGAACTCGCTCCATACCTACCTATGTCTTTTTTACTGAGGATCCTAGAACTGGACACAGGAATCTAGTTATGACCTTACCAGAGCTGAGGGGGAGGATCACCTCCCTTGACCTGCTGTTTGCATCAAAGGACCTTGCTGTAGTGAAGTTTGGTGACTGTATTTGTAAATTCTTCATTAGCCCCAAAGAATCTACTGAAATAACCCAGATCTTCATGGAAGACCCAAGGGCAATCTTCAACTATAAGTGAACTTTTTTGATGGCATGATCTTTCCCAGGACAGGCATATATTTCAGTTCTCAACAATTCCTCAATTTTCTCAACATCAGAAGAAAAAACAGTATAGCTAAGTTTTCAAATGTTTCCTCATCTCTTTGTACGATGAAGAACTACATTTCAGAGCTCATTCTTTTAATTATACCATAGGAAGCATTGCTATGACACAACAGGAATTCTTCTTTGCACTTTTTCTTTTCCATTCAGTATGGGAGTAATTCAGATGATGACTCTTTTTAATTTATTGTGCTATGTGAAAAACCTCCTGGCTTATTTTTGACTTCTGAGATAGTCTACTGGCAGAATGGGTATCAAATGACCCATCGTTTGCTATCTTACGTGCCTCAAATTGTGGGCTGTATAAACCAGAAACATTTTGGTTATTCGTTTCTCCCATCCTTCCCTCTGCTGCCACCATATGGTTAAGCGACAGCAAATCAAGAGATTGTGAACTACCTGGGTTTATAGCACTGTATATGGTAGATGTGCATTACCAACCTCTCAGTGGAAATGTTGAAGATACATACTGTCTCAAGCAAAGGCCATGCTAGCTCTGGAGAGAGGCACCATGTGTTTGACTGTGTTTCTTATCAGCCACTTTTTCTTGACTACAGGATCTGGGAATCCCCGCTCCTCCAAGCTGCCAAAGAGAACGACCTCTCAGCCATTAGGAAACTTCTCACTGATGGAACATGTGATATCTATCAGAGAGGTAACTTGGTTATTTGTGAGAAATGGTTTTCTGTGGAAGGCAAGAGCCTGCTACAATGAGTAGAGTAACATGTTTATTAGTTTGCCAAAACATTTCTATTAGCAGACTGTACGTCAGCACCTTTGCAGCAAAGTGAGTTTTCTTACTTGGAGAGCTCAATCATACCCTACAGGAATGGTGAAGATCAGAGGTTTACAGTTTGAATGGGCCTTTTTTCTAGAGGGACTGAGGGAAGTGGTTTACTGTGGAAGGCAGTCGGTGGAAGAGCTTTGTGCTCGTTCACTTCACGTCTGTGTCTGCTGTCACTTACAAACACCTGAAGTCTCTGTTCAGCTTTCAGATTGTGATGGGGTGAAGGACAGAGACTATGCAGTTATGTGGCTGTTACTGTGTCATATACCTGGCAGTACTCAAGGGAGGACCCAGCACTCCCACAATTCTCCACCCCAATAAACCCATTTCTGGTTTTATCCCATATTGTTGAATGTCTAGATGACTCACATGCTTCTCCTACTGTTTTTAGGTGCAGTGGGGGAAACTGCCCTTCATGTAGCTGCCTTGTATGATAATGTGGAGGCTGCAGTGACTCTGATGGAAGCAGCTCCTGAGCTTGTCAATGAGAGGATGACATCAGAGCTCTATGAAGGTAACACCTCAGGGAATGAGGATGGGCAGGATTCTCTGCAGGGGGAGGAAGGAAGTACTACCTGTACATTTAGGTAGATGGCTTATACTGTTCCTGTCTTAATATATTGCTGAATTGTTACATAGCAAAACCAACATACAAATGGCTCCTGACCATTTGTGGAATGTGGAATTATATTAAACCCAAGTACATACATGCACAAACATGCAAATGTGTAATTGACAAACCCTTAACCACAGGTGGGCCTGTTGGCTACAGTGGGATTGCCAAGGATCTGTACTGCTTTCTGCCATAGTCATATGTAACAAAGGGGACACCTACCCAATCTCCTCTGAAAGGAGAAAAAATGGTTCTTTGATTGACAAAGCAAATTTGCTTTGATTGAAAGCAAATGTGGCAACCACTTTTGAGTTTAGACTCTAAGCCAGGTTTTTAAAGAACATTTCTGATTGACTACAAAGACATGCCAGACAGAATCCTGAAACCAGTAAAATAATAATGACGGGGTTTAAAAAATTGTAATACCTAGTTTGATGGATTAGAGCAAGATTTCTTTGGGAGCTTTGGCTTGACCTGGCCTTCATGTCCCATGAAGGAAAGCATAGTCCTTTCTGAGAGACATGAGCTTTCAGTCTGCTTACTGGAAGTGTGTGGCATGTCTTATTTTCCCCCAGAAAAAAATCTAGAAAGTGCATCCTGTTGGGGTTTTTGGCAGGTTGTAAAGTCAGTTTTTGTGAATTCATAAAAGATTTAAATAGAATGAGACCTGTGTAAAATCTGTAGTCCAACCTTCTGCACACAACAGGGATAACTTCAAAACTAAATCATATAGCCGCTACGGATGCAGTTCCAAAAAACCTAGATTTACCACGAGTGAAATGTGAACTGCAGGCTACTGATCAGCCTGAAGTTGCTTTCTTGGAAGACAAGGTTTTATTTCTGTGTCTTACAGGGCAGACAGCTCTCCACATTGCAGCAGTGAACCAGAACATCACTTTGGTGAAGGCCTTACTCAAGAGAGGGGCCAATGCCTGCACACCACAGGCCACTGGGCACTTCTTCAAACGCAGCTCCCAGAATCTTCTCTATTTTGGTATAGCCTTATTTTTTCCCCCTTGTTGCTATGGGAGGGAACCAGCAGAGTGATGAGGGAATATAAGGGAGGCTTGCTTTAGTCTCCGTCTAAACTGGATAAACAGAGGCTCCTGTCTCAAAGTGTCATCAGTCACACACCTTTTAGCAGAGAGCAAGGCTCTATCTGAGTATCTAAATACTGCATAAATCTAAATATATAAGCCATACACTTTTTATATATTTCCATGTATACAAAAAATATATATTACATACAAATTATAATTTAATTTCTTCCTAGCAGTATATACTGCAATTTACTTGTCAACTTTCTTATGAAGATAATCTGAAAAAACCCCAAACCTTCTTCCTTTTAGTGTTGTGTGAGACATGTCTTCTCTTCCTTTTTGAGTAAGATGAGGAGTGGGGCAGGAAATTTACAGGTTACCTGAAGCAACTTTTCCTTTCATAATCGCTGGCTTCATAATTTGGATAGCTTTCCCTCAGCATGCTTCAACCTCTCCTGCCTTCTGGATTCTTAATGTTGTTTCTCCCCATACCTTTCTTTGCAGGAGAGCATGTTTTGTCATTTGCTGCCTGTATGGGAAATGAGGAAATTGTACAGTTGCTCATTGAAAATGGAGCTGACATTAGAGCTCAAGATTATCTGGGTATGTGCTGGGGAACCTGGTGAATTGCATACAGTGGATCTGGATACTTTAAATCAGACTCTCTCATCTGTGCATGCAATATTTTTCTCTCATTACAAACACCTGTGGGATGAGGGATGTGAGGAAAATGAAAGCCACCGTTAATGGCATCAGTCAATTGCCGGTCTTTGCACAGGGTTGGGCTATTCCACATACTTTATCTGATTTGCTTCTTTCATAGGTAACACTGTTCTTCACATCCTGGTTCTCCAACCTAATAAGACATTTGCCTGCCACATGTACAGCCTGATACTTTCCTATGACAGGAACAAAGAGGGACCAGGATCACTTGAATTGATTGCTAACAATGAGGGGCTTACTCCGTTCAAATTGGCTGGAGTTGAGGGCAACACTGTGGTGAGTTTAAGTGACACAGTCGCCTCCATACTGAAGAGCTTATTCAGAAATGGAAAACTTCAAATAACATCATCCTGACCAAGCAAGTTTGTGCATGTTCTTAGTGGGTAGAAGATACATAACAAGTCCTTCTTCTTTTTGCCAGAAGTCTCATGTAGGACCAGGAAACCTGTATAAGAAATTTATTTACCTAATGAAAGAAATGAGTGCTTAAAGAATAGATCTTTTGACCCAATTTTTGAAACATCTGAGTTAGACAGGTGTTAACAGAAAGATCCACTCCAAGTAATTTTTTTAAAGTCTGACTAAAATTACTCTTTGTTGCCTAGATTTCATTACCTTAAATGTGACACACAGAAAACTTCTTCAGGTATCCCCAGACATTTATCCATAGTCAACAACTCAATATTTAATGTAAACTCTATTCCTTCCCCTTAACAAAAAGACAAAGATGGTTAGTGTTTCTTCTGTAGATCCAGAAAGGATAGGATCATTTCCCTTGCTACACTTCTTTCCTGATAACTTGTAGACAAGTATAAAAAAAAATTTTTTCCAAATCAACATATAATTCTATATGAAATCTATTGTCAAGATGTACAACTGTGTCAAATAATTTTAGCAGTTTGATTAGAATTTAGAATAAAAATAATTCATCCTTTACCTCAAGCATGAGCTAATAATAAAATGTGAGTCAGAAAAAGTTATTCCACTTCTTAATCTGCTATAATTGTTCCTGAGAGATATAAGAACCACAACAACTACCAAATTCAAGGAAAATACATTGGAATTAAGGTTTTTTTAACAAATTTATTTGTTTTCAATGCAAATACACTATATACTGGAAAGCTTCTGATGTCCTCCCTCCTCTTATTTTCTCCTCAGATGTTTCAATACCTTATGCAGAAGAGGAAACACAATCTCTGGTCCTTTGGCCCCTTGACCACTGTGCTCTATGATCTCACAGAGATTGACTCCTGGGCTGAAGATCAGTCCTTCCTTGAGCTCATTGTCTCAACCAAGAAGAGAGAGGTACTGTGGGCAACACATGCTTTCTGTGTGTAAACCATTGTGATTATAAAAGGAGAAGAATAATAATTTTGAAGGTTCAGATTCTTTTATATTATCCATAAAGCAAGGACTTTGTACAATGTGCTGCAGGAAATACATTAAATATAGCAGCTTTTAATGATCTAGCTACAACTGATGTTTTATGCACAGTTTCTTCTGAGATGTGAAACTTGCAGATGATTGAAATAACTTATGAGCAAGCCATATGAAATGACATTGTGTGATTCAGTAAAGGGTTCTCTTTCTTTCACCAGACTCAAAGATATCAGTAACAAGTAGCTCTAGAGTAGCTCTAGCAAGTAGCTTTCTACAACTGTGATACTGATTAACTTTCACAATGTTCTTTTGAGACATGACTATGTTCAGAAATCCTAAACTGGAATGTATTTTAAAACCACTCATTATTATTCTTCCCTTCATTTAATGACGTTGTTTGTCCAGGTTATGACTCAAAACAAAGTAGGCAAATTATCTCTGCTGTAGGCTCAAAAACTTGTAAAGGGATCACTAAGATTAAAAAAGCAGAGTGTAACAGCAAGCTTAGACAGATGCGCTCAAGACTCAAGGTACGCTACCCTACCAGTTTTAATCACCTTAAATAATCCTAATAGGAAATTAATCAGAAGATACTTTAATTAACACAATTTTACCCATCCTGTATTATTTCCATATATCAAAATTTTAGTCAAACTTGTCTAAAAAAAGGTTTCAGCTACTGGAGAGCTTCACACAATGTGGAGGAAATCTATGAAACTCTCATTTGCTTTTATTTTAAATCGTCTAAATTTCTATATGTGGTGATACATATGGAAATTCAGGGGAAAGAAGTATATATATATATATATATATATATATAAAATAGAACCTTGGATGTTGTCCAGAAGACTAAACCATAAGCTTAAAAAAAAAAGAAGAATATTGTGCCTCTGTCTTCTCCCAAAACATAAAGTCAATGCACATCCAAGATTCCTAATTTCATAGGATAAGATGTCCCCAAATATCATGTGGTATTATAATTTCTTTATTTTCTAGAATGCTCTTAGATATGAGTAGTTGTAATTTTTGCATGCATAAATAGTAATTCTTCTTTGTATGTGATTTGTGTTTGGTCCAAAACGTTTTCTGCCTCCTCTAGAATATAATATGTCACCCCATCCTATCATACCATCCCAGTCCAGTATTGGACCAGGCTAACATCTTTATGCTCCAGTCAGAAGTAGGTTCCTCTTATATTAGGAGGGATGCATACACAAATAGGTATTAAGATATGTCTTCTGACCCTTAAGTGGATGAAAAGTGGCAAAAATAGAAGGGAACTAAGCTACAGGAAGATTATGGTAAGCTTCTCAACTTATATCATCCTTTTGAAAATGAAATTTACTCTCCTATGCAAAGAATTATAGAGTACTGACTTCTACATAAAACAGAACACCTAAGGCTATCTAGCTAGGTTCATTGTCTCTCACTTCCTTTTGATCCTCTAAGATATATTTTAGACCATTAAAGAGTCATGTCCATTTACTGAAACACATATATTCCTTGCACTTTGCACAGTCTGTTTTTGACTGACTTAGAGGACACAGGGCAACGTAGCAAGAGAAGGAAAATATCTAGGGTACAATAAAAAGTTTTCCTTTAAATTAACCCTCTTATTCCACTTTGACTTACGTCTCCTTGTTGCTTATTGCAGTGGTCCCCTAAACGTTACAAAAGGAAGTAGGTCTAGAAGCATTTAAAAAAGTATGTGAGCGAAATTTGTAAGCAAGTTGTAAAGTACACTCCGTCCTGCTTATGCTCTAAAAGTCAGTCTTTTAGCAGAAGCTGAAGGCTTGATATAGATGATTTAATGAAGTATCATCCAGATAATAATGCAGAAACTTAAATTTAATATTTTTACATAAGCCACGGAGCTTTAGAAAAGTACTAATAGCATTTGGAAAAATGTTCCAATTTTCTTATCCTAAATGATCAGATACAAAATTGCTGTACTAACAGGAATATTCTATCGTGCTCAGTTCCATGTTCTCACATAAAACAAAAACATTTCAAAGGTTTATCAGATAAATTTTAGTTGATAGTCTTTTGTTTTACCCTCAAGACGGCATCATAACTGAGGATAGTTTCCAATCAACTATATATATACCTTTGTTTCCCTTTTACAGAAAAGGTCTTGTTGATACTTCCGTGCTCGGTTTGCAACCTCAGAAAGGATTCTTGGAAAAGTAGCTTATTGCTCATGTTCTGCGAGAACAGCCAAATAATTGCTTCTCTTTTTATAGGTAGAGAAACTGCAAATGAAATAACACTGACTGTCTTAAAGTAGCTGAATCCAACTGCTTTTGACTGTCTCTGGAATAGACAGAGCCCCCTGACCCACAAAGCAAACTTTGATCCTTCATAAACATAGCAGCCATAGACCTGCTTCTAGACTCTGAGTATATAAATATTCTACTTACATCAATAGAAATTACACTTCCACAAAGAGAAGACAGACAAAGGACTACAGGCTCACTATTCAACTGCAGGAAACCATTTCAATTATAGCTTCAGTTCAGCTATACTGATTTTTTCCGGATTGGGAATGGACCCTAAACAGTTAACATGAGAAGACAGAAAAACACAAAAAGAGTCCATGCTGATTTTCTGGGCTTGCAGGTGCTGATGAAGAGAATATCTTTGTTTTACTTTCACTTTAATAGAATATGGCTTATAACTGAATAAAAAACACAGTTTTGTTTTGAAAATATTTCAAGGTGATCTATTTGATTGCAAAGTAGGTATCTAGCTCTTCACCTACTGCAGAAAATAACATTTGTCACTTCTCTGGAACATACTTCCTCGCACTGAGACTCTATGTCATTTATGACCACTAGGGCATCATGGGACAAATTTTTCAAAAGAACTCAGTATGAAAAGACTCTAATATTCTCTCTTCCATTTTATTCATGTCAACATAGTGCTTTTTTCACTACAATGTTGAATACATCCCAGTAGTGCATTGCATACTAAAATTAACATCTTTCCCATGTAGTTCATTCCTTCTTCACAGACTAGTTTACTAAGCAGACTCTCTAGTTTTGGGTGGACTTGAGAGTGATTACTTTTTTGCACACAATATTGTGTGTTCATATTGGATAAATTAAGCTAAAGAAGTGCACTTGGCCTGGATTCATTCCATCAACTTTCTGTCACCAACTGAGGTGTTTAATTAAGGAATACAGATTCCCTAAGTTTTACATGTTGTTGATAGAGAAAGGCAAGTAACTATTTCCAGAGAGCAGTTCAGATCTTAGGTGAGCTGAATGGCAGTCTGTAGGACTCTATTGCCCACAGGGAGAGAGGTGTTAGGATAGGCACATCACTAATGAGGGTATCTCCTTTAGGAGCCTAAAGTTATGTGATGTGGTTACTTGTAGGCATGATACTCTAAGGATATCAATGAGGCAAAGTTTGTAGGAAGAAGTAATTACATTTATTAGACTGTACATGGAGCCACGATTTCATCTTGTCCTAGGAAAATAGTTAAAGAGAGTGGAGTGACGTTGATCTTACCGAGTTTTATAGTTGTCATCCCAGCAGCAGATCAATAGATTCACTCAGAGGCATAGATTAGCAATGTTCAACAGGGGAAAAGATGTTGAATTTTTTTTCCATATAATTTCACTGTATTTTCTTTATCCTTTCTATGGATCAAAGCCTCTGTCACTTCTAAAGAGACTTATAGTCTCAACATTTTTTGAGGAAGTTTTCTTTTTGTATATAATTCCTCATCTACACAGTATGTATGAATATATGCAGATCTTTGACAGAAACACAGCCCCAGCTTTAGTAGCAGCACTATTTGTCATATCATGCAAGATGCTCACTGAAGCTTCTGTTTATTCATGGAAATGTATGTGGTCTATATTTGAGCTACACCACTGAGATTCTAAAAAGGACCCAAACTTTGAATATAATATAATCTAAAGGAAGTAAGTTGAAAGACCCTGGCTTTTTTCACACTCACTGTGGGTATACTGCAGTTTTTATCATCATAGCTGAATGTTGAAAACTTTTGAAAATCCAGTCTGCGTTTAGACGGAAATAAAGGAACTTTGGAAATCTTTCCAAAGCCCTCTTAGTTGCCTGCTAAATCAAGGTAATATCAGTGCCAGTTTTTCAAAGAGAGCTCATGATCTAAAGGACCTTTTGATATGTTTCCTAGAGATTAAGAGTTTTCACATATGCTACTGAAGTTAGTAGAAATAGCTGTTGAAACCAATGTTAACTTATGTATAAATGCAGAACTCAAACTGGAGGAAAAAGTCTAACCAAATTTCATAAGGTTGCACAGAAACCTTTTTCTGTAGCTGAAAATCAAATCAAAATTATTTTGTTTTCAATTATATTTTCTAATAATGATGTATATTTTGCACAGCGGAGAGTGTCTGCTGTAAAGTACACTGTGGTGTCTTGATTAACACAAAATATTCTTCGAAATTTATTCAGGTTACAGTAAAAGACAGTTCACGAATGGAAGTAGTTTTGTACACATCTGAATCCCTAGAGTTCACAGGATTTTTAAACTTTCTGATACTGTAAAGTTAGCCCACCCCTAATATAGATACTAATATAATAATAATAATTTTAAAATTATTAATAATACCTTTTATTTTCTGTAACATATCCTCAGATATTTGCATTTATGGACCTGGATCATAGGTCTGTCTCAAGTGTGTATATGCGTCTAGGCCTACACAGACAGCAAACTTGTTCCAGTATCGTGATAGTTTCACTGGGCTAGCCCTTGGCCAGCAGCCAACACAGCTGTTCACCCACTGCCCCCCCCACATGACATGACATGACATGACATGACATGACATGACATGACATGACATGACATGACATGACATGACATGACATGACATGACATGACATGACATGACATGACATGACATGACATGACATGACATGACATGACATGACATGACATGACATGACATGACATGACATGACATGACATGACATGACATGACATGACATGACATGACATGACATGACATGACATGACATGACATGACATGACATGACATGACATGACATGACATGACATGACATGACATGACATGACATGACATGACATGACATGACATGACATGACATGACATGACATGACATGACATGACATGACATGACATGACATGACATGACATGACATGACATGACATGACATGACATGACATGACATGATATGGAATATCCCACTGGCATATCTAAATGGCAATTTAGCTTATTAATTTAAATATTCCTCACCCTCTTAAATCTTGTGCTTGTGGACTAACAGAACACGAAGTCCTTCACTTCCAGTGACCAAAATGCAAACACTGATATGTTATCAGTCTCTTTCTCATAACAAGTCCCAGACTGAAAAGCAAAATGCAGCACTATTCTAGCTACTGAAATTGAAACCCAGCTCTGTTTCAGCTAAAATCCAGGACAAGTATCTAATATGCTTCTCTTGCGCTTCCTATTGGTGCTCAAAAGCTGTTCTTTGCAGGATATATTTTCCACTTTTTTTCAAAGCTCTTTACTGGCAAACTGAGCAAATACAAAACCTCTTGAGCATTCAGTTTTTGCAAAATAAATTGAGCTTCCTAATGCTGAATAACGTAGGTGAGAATAGTTTGTTAACATTCTCCCAGGAAACAGTATGAATGATGCTTATAAACAAATGTCCATATGGCAAATAATTCCTTCTTTCTATCTCTCTCAGGCACGCCAGATCTTGGACCTAACACCTGTGAAGGAGCTGGTGAGCCTGAAGTGGAATATGTATGGTCGTCCCTATTTCTGTTTCCTGGCTTTATTCTATATACTCTACATGGTCTGCTTCACTATGTGCTGCGTCTACCGACCACTGAAACCCCGAACAGGCAACAAAACAAGCAGCAGAGACAATACAATCTATGTCCAGAAAATGCTGCAGGTACTGTGTCTATAGGAGTCAAGGCTCCATAGGCAGCATTGGGCAATTCTAATCTAACCTACTAAACTGGAAAATCCAAGTCTTTCCCAGCTGCCAGCTATTGCAGCTCTCCTCCTTCTCTCTTCCTGCTAACTGACCTTTGTCAGCGAGGAACACTGGGTATGCCCTGTTCTCCATGGCTGGGGCTGGGCTGGTTCCTGTGGCCTTGTCAGGCCTAGTCGTGTTTATTGCACTAACAGTGGGCCTTCTTTTCCCCCATCCTCTGTTTTAAATTTCCTTTTACTCCCTTTAAAACTTAATTTCATTTTCCTTTCACTCTTTTTTTTTTTTTTTTTTTTTTTTCCTCCCAGGAATCATATATGACATATGAGGATGAGCTGAGGCTGGTGGGGGAGCTGATTACAGTCATTGGAGCTGTAGTAATTTTGATCCTTGAGGTAAGAGAAACAGTGAACTATATAGTCTCAAGTTTAACCAAGACAGATTTTACTTACTAGAGAAACAGGAGTTTGTGTTCACAACTTTGTAGGGGTTATTGGCTTAGTCTAAGTGTTTTGATATATGCCTATGGCAAAAGACACTGTCAACAGTATTTATTGGATGAAATGGAGACTATGACTTCCAGGTGTGGAAGAAGCAATCAGAAAGACTGGCTGCGCTCTCAAATCCTATCTGCAGCGTAATGCCGTGGTTACCGTTAGCACCATCTGTGGGTCCAGATGAATCCCAGCTTTGGGTGAGATTCTTAGAGATTCTTCACCCAGCACCCCTACATACTCACATGTTTAGGGGTGCTGGGTGAAGTGTTTTCTGTGTGTACACAGAAAAGTTCATATTTAATTTTAGATCAGTGACTGTATGGACCTATAATAGGAACCTTACCACCAGAGTTCTGAGGCAAACATGTTTAGGTGTTCTCCTTACCATGAACTCTCCAAAACCCACCCAAAGTTCTTCAAATCAAAACAAATACATCCCCCACTTGATTTTTTTAATAATACAAAATAGAAGACTGAAACTTTTATATTGGAAAACTCAAATGATTGTCCCAGGGACAAATGAAATAAAACAAGGCTTGTAAACAGCTTTCTCTCTGCCTGTATACGTTCCAGGACAGATCCTTCTTCCTGTGTTTGGTCAGGACTCTGGGGCTACACTACAATTGATACAGCAAGAATTATAACAGATTCCTTTGAGTCCCCAAGAAGGGGTTTTCTGAGGCTCAGCTATTTGTCTGGTCTCTTCTCAGGAATCTATATGAACTTCAGGCTCACAGGTCTGAGCTGCAACACCTCCCTGTTATGTTCCAAAGCTTCTCTATCTGCCCAAGTGTTAGATTTTCCAGCAGTCTCTGTCACATCCTGAGAAGGGCCCACCTGACTCAATCATTATGGTTTGAAAGTAATATAGAAATCAAACTGTGAACCACCTAAACAAAGCAGATGCGGCTGCCCCCAAGATCCTGTGAATATTGGTGGTTACCATGACATTTAATAGTATAAAGGAATCTGTCTGAGTTCTGAAGTCAACAGGATGTCTCTTTTAGATTCCAGATATCCTTAGAGTTGGAGCAGCAAAATACTTCGGCCAAACCATCCTAGGAGGGCCTTTCCACATAATTGTGTAAGTACACCACTTTCTAAGTCTAATAAATACGTTGTCTCTCATTTTCCCCACTGCTTTCTTTTGCCAGATGAGTATCTTTCTCCATTTTTCTAGAGTATTCCTTCTCTTGATTTATTTTTCTTACTAGCTCAACTGGTGTGTAGGAAGCCAGGTGAGTAAACAGGTAGAGCTGACAGTGCTGAGATGTCTCCGCCTGTGGGGCTGGTGGCTGTATGTACCTGTCTTGTAATTTTTGAAAAGAAAACAAAAAGGAGGGTAAGGTTCCTTTACTAAACTTTTTTCACTGTCTCTTCTTCCTCTACAGCATCACATATGCTTGCATGATTCTAGTAACCATGGTGATGCGTCTCACCAGCACAACTGGTGAGGTGGTGCCCATGTCCTTTGCCCTAGTGCTAGGATGGTGCAATGTCATGTACTTCGCACGAGGCTTCCAGATGCTCGGACCATTTACCATCATGATCCAGAAGGTATGACACAAACAAATGTGGCCTTGTTACACACATCCTCATACCTCTTTGCAGATAGGGAGAACTGAAAGAATACTTTTTCTCCCTCAGGACTATCATTAATGGCAAATGGATAAGTTCTTGTCTGCACAGAGGGTTTGTGACTTTCACATTCTCTCTTTAGTGCAGAAGTTTCTTGTAGTCCACTTGTGGTCTTAGAATATGGAAAATGGTTTGCATAGGGTTACACTGTGACTCAACGAGAAAGTTGGGCCTTACGGTGCCTCTATCTTTGCTCTACAGATGATATTTGGAGACCTTATGCGCTTTTGCTGGCTCATGGCTGTGGTGATACTAGGCTTTGCTTCAGGTGAGTCAGTGAAAGGAAAACAGCAATGTTACCTCTGCCAACTTTACTATTAACTAGGTGCATGGTTTTTGATTTACTCTCAGGTTGCCCTCTGAGTTAGCTGGCAAAGGTGGTGATGATGAGAAGTGGTGGCTTCTATTTCTTTGAGCATGGTCACTTTACCAGTATTGATTTCCATTCTCATGAGTTTGGTTTTCAATTCTTGCTATTTCTAGGGTAATAGAAATTAGGAAAATCCAGGTAATTCCACATATATATATATAAGTCAAAGTTTTAAAACATACTGCATTTATAATATTTGTCTTTGGAAAATGAGATTAACACACATAGCTTTATTATATCCTTGAAGAAGAAAAGATTACTATTTTGAGAACAAATAAATAATCCAGGTAATTCTGAGTCATTTTATAATGAAAATCAGTGATTTTAGTCAGGAATTTGTCCTTGTTGTGCTGGGTACTGCATTGCATAGAAACACATGTAGCTCCTTCCCAGAGTTGTCAGTATCTATCTCTTATAGGACCCTGTTGTTGCTCTTGGAATGTCATTCTCATTGCTAAACTATTTCTCTTTTTTTTTTTTCCCCATTGCTCTCCTCTAGCTTTTTACATCATCTTCCAGACAGAGAACCCTGAAAACCTTGGCCAATTCTACAACTATCCCATGTCCTTGTTCACCACCTTTGAGCTGTTCCTCACTATCATTGATGGCCCTGCAAACTATGATGTGGACCTGCCCTTTATGTACAGTGTGGTATACTTTGCCTTTGCCATCATTGCCACCCTCCTTATGCTCAACTTGTTAATTGCCATGATGGGTGACACACACTGGAGAGTGGCTCATGAGCGGGATGAGCTCTGGAGAGCCCAGGTAATCTAATTTAGGTGGCAGGGGATTCACTTTGAATAAAGAAGGGGAAGAGTTGTCCAGGAAAAATGTGCTAGACAGTGCAATTACTCTGCCATCCATGCTCTAAAGGAGCATTACTTTTCTCTGGCCTTCACTTTTCTCAGGGGCTAATAAAATAAGCTGTGTCCTTTTAACTCTGTTTTACAGCTTGGATACATCAGCCACCGATTTTTTTTCAGCCTTTCTATGAGTCTGAAGTGTCTAAGTGCAAGACTTCTGACGCATCTTCCCATGTAAAACTGTCTTCCAGTATATCTTTGCTATGTGGGTATTCCTACCTATTCAAATAGCAGCTAGAAACTTGTCCAGCCTTCCTTGTCCATCCTGTGTCTCTCTACCTCATTGTTCCTTACACATGGAAGCTCTTGTTAAATAGAATTGAAGTTGCATCTTCTTTTACAAATCACATTTTTGTGTAATGGAGAGTGATAATTCTAGTGATTAACTGAGGGGAGATAAAATGCAAGGTAATGGTTACAAGTAGGTCAGTAACATCTTTAGATCCATTAGGAGAAGTTGACCTGACTCTCTTGCTCAAGAGGAAAAAAAATTCAACCAGCTCAGTTACATAACTGCTCAACAGGAAATCCATTTCCTAGGATTTTCCTGTGAGAAAGCATCAAGTCAAGTGGTTAGATGTAGTTGTGTGGCCAACTTGGTAAGTTCTGATGGTAGTTAATGCAGATATAAATACTGTCCTCTTCTCTAGCTTGCAAATTAATTATCTTACTCGTTGACATCGGGTACAAAAGGAAAGGAATTTACCAGTGTGTTAAGAGCGCCATTGCTTCCTCAAAACATGGCACAAATAGGACTAAAACGGTGAATTACCCTATAATAAATGGAGTATTCACTCTATGTTTTTTCTTCATTACATATGTAGCTGTATTGAAGTATGGTAATGGGTCAGTATCCATGAAACTGATAATTTTGAAAGAGAGCCTGATTTTTCTCTAATTCATCTGAGTTCTTTCTTTATTGTTCTAAAGGTTGTCGCTACTACTGTCATGCTGGAACGGAAACTGCCACGATGTCTCTGGCCTCGCTCTGGAATATGTGGGCGGGAGTATGGGCTAGGGGATCGATGGTATCTCAGGTGAGTTCTCTTCCAATGTATGCACATAAGGATCCCAGAAGAAGAATCTAATATATGGATGTTGATAAAGAGCTTTTCCAGTGGCCTGGGGAGGAGTGTTTGGAGTCCTTCCCTTCCAGAGTACAGACCTCAATCTGTTTTCTGTTTGTGACTGATAGACAAGCACTGTCCCTCTCAGAAAGCTCTGCTTTCTCCTTGTGAAATCAGCTGATATTTTCTTATCCAGTAGTCACAGGAGACAGACTCTAGAAGTTGCATAGGTTATAAGGTCTGAATTTTTCTTTCAGACTTACAATGAGTTTCACAAAACACAAGTGTTGTGCTTGATTGGCTGTCCCTATCCAATTAGTTGCATGAAATGGCAGAAGCAGAATCAATCAGTTAGCCATTCGGTGCACCAATTAACTGCACTACAGGTGATTCAAAAACAGAACAGGAATATTAAAGGCAAGATTTCTTTCTCATGTGAACCTAGCAACTATATCGTACATTGCAAAGACTGCATCAGGTGGCAAAGTCTGAGGTCCAGGATTTCAGTTTAGGCACTGAAATAGAAACAAACCCCTATCTCTAGTCTAGATAACACTAGATTCCTCATTATTTCTGATTTTAATCAATACTTGGGTGAGAAAAGATTAAACTTTGGCCATATGTCTTTTCTAACTGCGTCATCTTTTGCTGATAAAACCAGAAGGGGGAGTGGTGGCTGTATGAACTAGGACTTTCTGCAGATTTTAGCAGAGAAATGAACCTTGTGGATTTTCAGGTCTGCTGGGCAGAACAAGCAGACCTAAAGCGGTACCAATATGCAACGCTTTTCAGTCCAAGACGCAGAATATAGCTTTGCAAGAGCAATATCCCAGCAACAATTCTTCATTGGATGCTATAAGAAAAGAGTGTTGGTGTGATCTAGTTCTGTCAAATTACATATATGTTCATTTTATATAGTGTGGGATAGTATTTCAGAAGACAAGTTATAAGTAACGTAGAGAAGGGTTGGTGGAAGGGGAACTGTTAAATAAAAGTTCAGCAAAAGCTAAGTGACATGCTGAGGGTAGCAGCCATGCAATATCAGAGACAAGAACAAAGGAAATAGATGAATATACATGTATATACAAAGGATCTGGATCTGGAGTCAGATGGGGCAGGTCTACCAATAGCTTACAACAAAATGGAAAGGGCAAATCATGACTACTGGGAAATTAGTTAAAGGACAGGAAACCACGAGCAGATAAGGGTACTGAAGTCAATGACGGGGGTGAAGGTCTAGGAGATAATTATGTGCTAGTAGCTGCTAGCACCATGCCTATAATCAGTTTCCTGTTTCTGTGTAGATTTTCTGGAATGTCTCTGTCAATAGGCAAATTTTTTGAAGGGGCTTGCTTCTTGTGGCTGCTTTGTCTTGCTGATAAACTGGTACGTTTCCAGTGCCAGTTTCATTCAGTTTATGTTTTTTAATCCTCTTACAGAGTTGAAGACAGGGTTGATCCGAACAAACAGAAGATGATGAGGTACACAGAAGCATTTAAGGCGCAGGGCAGGGATAACTATGAGAAAGGTTTGGAAAAGCTGGAAATCAATAGGGACATCCTGTACAAGAAAGAACTGTCTGCTCTGTCATTGTCACGGAGCACATCCAGGACTAGTTCTCACCGTGGCTGGGAGATCCTGAGGCGCAACACTTTCCACCAGCTTCGTGGAGATGTTGGTCATGCCACGGAAGAGGAGGTCTATGATGTCTAAGAAGCCTCTTATTTTGCTCTACAACACGGATCACTTTTGCCACAATAGTTGTCTTCTCCAACTGTTCATACATACTGCAGCATACTACACACATATCAGCCTTGAAGACCTCTACTGGTGAACAGTTGATGAACAGTTCATGGCATCTATGCTATGACGTATGAATGCAGTCTTTTCTCTCCTCCATTTAAGTGCTCTGCTGTTGCACTGGTATTTGCACCAGGCTGGTGGTTTGTTGTGCTTTGTAATGCTCTACAGAAATGAGCAAAAGAAGCCAGTAGTGGGATTTCATCCATTTACAAAGTGATCAATAAGCCCTCTCCAAGACTGTTACATACAGAATAAATCTCTCCCTCCAGTTTCACAAAATCCCAGTGCTCTCATAGCAGAGTTGACTGAAGTTCTCTTCTATAATTTGGTACAGAACCAAAAAAAACCCCAAGCTGTAACTAAGCTCAGGAATTAAGGTAGTTGCTGCCGTTGTGATGATTAGAGGACTGTAACTGCTTAGCTGGCATTCAGGGTCTGACAGATTTTGTCCTCTGAAGAAAGGCAGTCTCTATTAGCTGCATTTTCAACATTGCTGTCTTAGCAGGACTGTACTGATTTTAGTTTCGTTTTGCTTTTTTGGGGTTGTTTTGGTGATTTGTTTGTTTGTTTATTTTGTTGTCACATGAATGCACTTTAAGATTTTGAAAAGAAGTGATTGCTATTCCTAGGAGGACTCTGAAGGATCTGAAGCGGGAACTTCTTTTCCTAATGAGAGAATGTATGACCTGGTTAGGTGACTTTCAGCAGTGTGAAATTTCAGCAGAGCTATTAATCTCTCAAGTGAGCTGAAGCTGGTCTTTTGTTTTCTTTGGAAGAGTAGGATTCTGAACCATAGTTCTCTGACTTCTAACTGAGCCATTAAGGTTGGGTAATGAGCTACAATATAGCACGCAAAGAAACGGAGAGGAAATGTTGGAAAGACAAATAAAAGCTATTGCAGAGGCAGTTCAGAAACTGGTGTGCTCTCTCTCTCTCTCTGAAAGTCTAAAACTATCTGATGAAAAACAGTCATCCACACAGTTCTCTTCCAGGCATGATGCTGTGCCAGTTTGTCATCTGGGCTCCTTTAAAAAAAATAGAAAAATGTTCAGAGAAATAGACTATCATTTCAGGGGTTTTTTTGTATTCTCAGGAGTGTGGAGTTTCATTCCAATAGCAGAAGTAAGTGGAAAGCAATCCATGGTCTTTCAACATTTCCTTTCAACAGGACTAATAACAGAAACGTTGTTTTTTAAGAAACGAAGGATTTATCTAGCACTAGACTTTGAGCCAAATCACCCTGTGATAATCAAGCACATAATGCAAAAGCTGAATCCAGTGGATTTCTGATTGTATTGAAACATCATGGCAAACACCTACATCTCTCTTGCAGGTGCCGTAATGAGCATCATATTTGCAATTACATGTGTATATTTAAATGTCCTCTTTCTCTTACTTGAATGTGTATTTATGCTTCAATGGAAGACTGACAGTAGACTGTCTCTGGAATTCAACTGCATACTTTTGAGTTGACTCATTTTGTTGAACTGAAAATTTGCTTGGTCTTGCTCTCTTAAGTATTGTCAGTCTAAAACCTTTGGTGGTCTATGTAAATGAAACAATGTGGTACATTAACCAGAACTGTGAATTGCTGCTCTAATTGTAGATTAATTTTATTTCATAGTGAATAGGAAATAGCAGGAAGGGGAGAAGTGATGGCTTCCCACTCCTCCCCCTGCCCTAAGTATAGTAGTCTTTTCACTATTTAGAAAACCTGCAGAAATACAATTAAGATGGTGCTGCATATAACCATTCCTACAACAGGACTCCTCTTTGTGACATAATAGTAATACTAATAATAAATACTACTAATAATAGTAATAATAAAGCTAGTTTGAAGTAAAGCTGTGTAGGCCCTGGTTCTGATTTTGTGTTCTTCTTCATCGCTATAAACAATAATGAGAATTTTTATCTTGAAACTCAAAACAACATATTGACATTACAGGAGACAGAAGAGTTTTTGAATTTTATGATGTAGTTGTATCCTAAAATTCTGCAACAGTATTGCTGTTCCTTGCTATTGCAAGGTGTCTTTCTTCTCCCTCCTAACAATATTGCAATAATTTCAAAACAGACATTCCTCTCCTCCTTGAAACTGCTAACCTGAAACTGTCTTCTATGTTACTGGAGCAACTTCTGAGTTTATGTTAATGTGATAAGAATGAATGTTTTAATCCAGTTGCTTGTAGTAAAATGAGAATTATTGTGCTGAAAATAAAAATATTAAATATATGTCTGCTTTTTTTGTGTTTAAAATAATTATCATGGCCCAATTTTTGTGTTTGTTTCTCTAGTAGCAATCACAGACATTAGTTGACAGATTATTTGGATTGTCATGTTTGGATCCATGTTAATTTCTCTTTTTTTTTATTAAAGCGGTTTTTCCACAGCAATCCACTTCAGAAATTTCTTTTAAAAATTTTGTATAGAGTTTCAAACACTGAAGAACTATCAAGGCCCTTATTTTTTAAGGTCACTGAGTGGTAAGTGAAAACTGTGGTACAAGCTCTTTGAAGCAGAAGCCACATTTTCATGTTGGTGGAATGACCTGTTTTAGACAGTGAGGTGATAGTCCTTGCTATAGCTGCTAGTAGTAAAGTGCACATAGGTACAAAGAGTTTTCTCAGTAATATACATGCAAAACAGATACAGATAGTCCAGTTTTGCTTCTATAATTATGGTTTGCTGAATTTTGTGTTTACACCATTTCTTAAATGATTTCCTTTCTAACCTGGTTAAGGACTTCACCTTATATTACACGTTAAAGCAAACAAGGCAAAGAAACTGCAAGACAGACTTACAGGATAAATCCTGATGAATGAATTTCCATAAACTCCATTCATAGTAAGTGACAGTAGGGCCACTTGGCATCTACAAAAAATGTCCACATCTCATTTAAAGCTTTTTTCTCTCTTGTTAGAGGAAGAATTTCATGGTACTGCTATAGTCAGATAAGGAGAAAAGAATCACAAAAATCCAATTCCTGAAGCAATTTTTACACTAAATCAATGAGGAGTGTGCAATGTAGGCCAAAAATTTTGGATGTGTGCACTGTGGATGTAGTTGAGATGCTTGAGAACACTGTCACACTTATTCTTCCTATGTCTTAATGTTTGGGATGGGCCTCACCAACTCCCACTGGTAAGACCACATTATTCCACATATGAAACAATCAGGGATGGATCATAAATGTCAATGTGCAAAAGGTCGCCTTCATGGCATTGTGTCAACAGATGGCATTGGCTCTGGACGGCCTGCACACATATGTCTGAGTGTCCATCATAATTCTAATGCAACTGACCTTTAACGAACACTAATCTCACCAGGGAGGGGTTGATGAAAGGAGTAACTCACCACCTTGCAGATGGTGATCCTCACTGGTTTTAGAGCATAACAGTTTCATCAGATTCACAGTCTGGTGGAATCCATGCTGAAAGAAGGCATGTGGTCAATCCAGGTTTATTTGTTTGTGCTACAATCTTTAGCCACCACCTTTTCACAACAAGCCTGGGTGTTTATGCTAAAGTAATAAAATCTTTATATTTAAATGTATCTGCCTATGTGGGACTAGCTCTCCTATTACCTGGTCAGAGGATTGCTAATAGTTAAATAAATACTTTAATTTACAACAGTCGTGTCTGTGTTGTGGTGATAAGTGGTTCTGACATGATGATCTATGCTAAGAAATTCTTCATTTAGGTGTGCATTTGTCTTCGTATTTTAACCTCCTTTATGTCTGGATTTTCTTTAGTATGAAGGAAGAATTATTTCTGTTTCTGTCCTTTTGTCCTTCTCTCTGTTCACTACTCCAGCAGCTCCTTCCCTATATATTTCTATTTAATTCTTTGAGTATGGAATAATCTGACATCTTGTATTTTAAAACTCTCTATTTTTATCCCAAATGCCTTTTCTCAATCAGTAGCATCAGGGTCACTCCATGACAGGAAAAGATATGATCAAAACTTTCCCTTGTTTTATTACATGATAAACTTGCAAGCTGCTTTAGAAGGTTTTGCAGCTCTGTAATAAATAAAAGCTTCCTTTCTAATATCACATGCAACCTGATACTAAAGCTAATGTGCATAGCCTGTTAGATAATGAGATTTTATAGGAAGATCTTATCCTGGGGCTAAAATACAGAAAAAATCTCAACCTTCTGAGATATTACACAGAATCACAGAATTACACAGAACCACAGAATGGTAAAGGTTGGAAGGGACCTCTAGGGATTATCTAGTCCCATCCCCCTGCCAAAGCAGGTACATCTAGAGCAGGTTGCACAGGAACATGTCCAGGCACATTTTTATTATCTCCAAAGAAGGAGACTCCACAACCTCTCTGGGTAGCCTGTTCTAGGGCTCTAGCACTTTCCAAGTGAAAAGTCAGAAACCTAATGGTAGAGTTTAATATGAAATAGTTCCCCATTTCATGATGTAGACCATAAAACTATAAGAACAGAGGTGACTAGGTTTTCAAAGGAGACTTCAGGTTTCCAAGTTTAGGTCCTTGTTGCTGCAAGAGCTCAAAAAGAGTTAGCCAAGGAAGCCTAAGGACAGAACTGAGAATATTCTCTCTAACCATCTTATTCTGTGTCTTTAGGAGGGGATACAGGACATGGATGTAACAGACTACAATCTGTTTTGTTTGACATAGTCTCTTGGAAAAGGTTGCTATGATTAGAGAACTAGGATCATAAGATCATGAAATAATTCAGGTTGGAAAGAACATCGGGAGGTTATGTTGTCCATACTCCTCCTCAAAGCAGGGTCATCTATCAGGTCTTACTAGGTTGCTCAGAGCTTTCTCGAATCTGATCTTGAAAGCATCTGAAGAAAGAAACTGCATAAACCCTCTAAGAAACCTGTTTCAATGTTGAACTGTCCTCATAGTGAAAATCTTTTTCCTTATAT